GCCTTCGCCTCCACCTCCTCCACCTCCTCCTCCTCCCCTTTCCCCCCCCCCTCCCCCTCCCCCTCCCCCTCCCCCTCCTCCTCCTCCTCCTCCTCCTCCTCCTCCTCCTCCTCCTCATCCTCCTCCTCCTCCTCTCGTCCTCGTCCTCGCCCTCTCCTCCTCCTCCTCCTCCTCCTCCTCCTCCTCCTCCTCCTCCTCCTCCTCCTCTGCGCTGGTGCGCTCTCTGTACCCTGAGTCAGGACGTTGCAAGAAAAAGCAGCATCGCGAAAAAACCTATCTGAACCCCAGACCCCATCTGCCTGCAGCACTTTCCGACTCGTATATCGATCTGTCGTGGCCCCAGGGCCCGACACCCGACGAAACGCCCGGTGACAAAAATGCAGCGCCCCGATCACAGGGCGGTGCGCTCCCTGGACCTCCGGCGTCGTGTTTATTCCAGACGTCGACCCTGGAGGGAGGGGACGAGGAGGAGGAGGAGGAGGAGGTGAAGGAGGAGGAGGTGGAGGAGGAGGAGGAAAGGGGGAGGAGGAGGAGGAGGAGAAGGAGGAGGAGGAGGAGGAGGAGGAGGAGGGGAAGGGGAAGGAGGAGAAGGAGGACTCGACCCACGCCCCCAGGATCGGTTCTTTTCCTCCTGGTCAGTTCTTGGGCGGCCTTCGGGGGCCCAGCGAGGGGCCCCCCAGAGGGCCAGAAAGGACGACAAACCTCCGTAGCGTTTAAGTCGGGCGTGTCTCCCTACAGGGGGATTTTCGACGAAAAATAAAAATAAGTATTAAACAAATTCCCACAATACCCAAAAAAATAGCCCCCCGGCGATTTGTTTCTGGACTATTCTTGAGCAGTCCCCCGGTAGAGGGACGGGCCCGACTTCACCGTAGTGGGATGTTCCACACGAGGGAGCTCAGACCACCCTTTCGTAAAACGTGGCTTAGTGAAAACGACCCGAGGCCCACACCTGGCGGGCGCCAGCCTGGAAAACAACGGCCGCGGCGCCCTCGAGAACCGAAAACGGATAATTCACGAATCGACGTGTCACTGTCGGGGGTTTTGTTTTTGCTTCTACCGGTACTTCGCCACCGGGTTCCTGTACAAGGCGTTCCTGTGCAAGCACGTCGCTTTCGGCACCGCCTGGTCGCGAGGCTGTGCCTCCTCCTGACCTTGCCGTGAGGCCGCTGTCCTTCTGTCCCCCCCTCTTTGTTAATTCAAGCCTCGCGCGGCCCGCTTCGCTTCGACCGGAAGAGGTGCGCTCTCGACCCGCGAACCGAAAAAACAAAAAAACTGTTGGGGGTTCTGTCCGCCCCCGATCCACACGAGGGAGCTCTGGCTCTCCGCTCTCGCGCCTCCGAGCGCCCGCCTCCCGTGGGCGTGGGCGATCCGCGGGCGGCGGCCGAGGCCGGCGCGGCTGCGGCGTCCGGGGGGCGTGGCCGTCCCTGCCGCGGCCTGGGCGGCGGGCGGCGGGGGCGGAAAGGGGTGGGAGGTCAGGGCCGGGGGAGGAGCGAGGAGCGAGGAGCGAAGAGGAGGAGTGAGGAGGAGGAGGAGGGGGAGGAGGAGGAGGAGGAGGAGGAGGAGGAGGAGGATGAGGAGAGGAGGAGGAGGAGGGAGGAGGAGGAGGAGGAGGAGGAGGAGGGCAAGGAGGAGGAGGAAGACGACGAGGACGAGGACGAGGAGGAGGAGGAGGAGGAGGAGAAGCGAGGATTTGAAGAGTGAGGACTGAGTAGGAGGGAGGAGTGAGGGTCGAGGAGCGAGGAGGACGAGGAGTGAGGAGGACGAGGAGGAGGGGGAGGTGGAGGCGGAGGAGGAGGAGGAGGAAGAAGACGACGACGACGAGGACGAGGAGGAGGAGGAGGAGAAGCGAGGGCTTGAGGAGTGAGGACTGAGTAGGAGGGAGGAGGGAGGAGGGAGGAGTGAGGGGAGGGAAAGGAGGAGAAGGAGGAGGAGGACCCTGAGATGCTGGCGCCGCAAGTCCTTCGAGCCTGCGTTCTCGCCGAGTTTCGATCGGGCCCCAGACGCCCCAGAAAGGCGCGAGAAGCCAGGAACACCCTGGGCCAGGACCACGTCTCGGCGGCGAGCGAGGGGGGGAAATGAGAAGGGGCGGGCCTCCTCAGAGGGCTCGGAAGTCCCCTGGCCTTCTGAAAAGTGTTCAAAGCCTTTCCCGAAGACACCGAGAACTTCTCAGGAGGCGCGAGGGCTTCTGAGAAGACCCATTGCCTTCTGAGAAGACCTTATCCTTCTCATTTCCCCCCCTCGCTCGTCGCCGAACGCCTGCCTCACCCTCAAAGAGACGGGCCCCGAGGGAAACCCTCCCGGAGCCTGGGGTCATGCCCCCGGGGCCGGCTCTCAGGTCCCGGGTGGTGTCTTGGTGTGGCCCCCGGGCCCGTGGAGGGCCCCAGCGGCCCGCAAGCGGCGAAAACACCAAGGACCCGCTTCCAGGTCTGTGCTGGATCGGACCGCGAAATCGGATCGGATCCAGAGCGGATCCAATCGCCGGCGAATCGTGCCGGATCGGATCGGTATCGAGTCGCCGCGTCCCGCGTCCGGCTGGCCCTGGCCAAGGCCGGTGGATAGAGCCGGATGGCATCGAACTTGAATCGCGGCCCCAGCCAGCGAATCGACTCGCATCGAATCGGATCGTAGGCGGCCCTGGCTTCCCTCACGACCCGCCTCCTTCACGGCGATTCGCCTGGAGCGTTGGGCGGGCGTCCCTGGCACAGCGGCCCCGACAGCGGTCGACGGCGGTGTTCCTGTCCGAGCGCACCGACAAGACCTGCGCACACGAGCCCCAGCCTCTGCGAAGCGTGCGGTATGCTCGCTGCTGGTACGCAGGGCGGCACCGCCGTGGTGCGCCAGGAGGCGGAGCGCTTCATGCCCGCACCCACAGGAGGGGGCAAGGGTTCCGGCAGCTCTCGCTGGAGCTGCCGGGCTGCGCCTTTCAGCCGCCTAGGGAGGGAGGAGAAAGAGAAGGAGGAGGAGGAGGAGGAGGAGGAGGAAGAGGAGCAGGCGACTGCCGTGTGAACGATTATCGGTCCTCTCCCTGCCCTCACTTGCGCACGACATACTCTTGGCTTAATCCCACCAGCCCTCTGGGCGTAGGTGGTCTAGAGCAGATCCTCTTCCACCCCTCCCTCTTCCCCCTTGGGGAGGGGTTTACCCCTCCCCCTACCCCCTCCCCTGGACCTGGACGGGGGGGGCCGCGGGTAGTTAGAGCGTCCCAGATGGCCCAAGACGGCTCCAAGAGCGCCTCAGAGAACCCAAGATGAGCTCCAAGATGGCTCAAGATAGCGCAAGATCGCTCGAGATGGCTCCTAAGATGGTTCCAAGAAGCCCAAAGACGGCCCCAAGATAACTCCAAGTGGCCAAACAGCTCCCCAAGGAGGCCCCGAAGAGGCCAAAATCGTCCCAAAACCTAAGGAAAATCAATGATTTTTGCTTTCTCGCCTTTTCGCTCCCGATGGCCATCCGAGGCCTGGAGATGCTTCCAAGATGGCCCAAGAGGGCCCCAAGAGAGCCCCAAAAGAGCCCCAAGACGGCCCCAAGAGCGCCCAAGAGCACTCCAAGAGCGTTCCAAGAGGGGTCCAAGAGGCGATTTTAGGGGCTTCCGAGGGGGGACGCTAATTAAACCCCCCCTCTTGTTTGATCGATCTCCTCCAAGATGGCCCCAAGAAGCGCCCAGGAAGCCCCAAGAGGTCCCAAGATGGCCCCAAAATGGCCCCAAGAGGCCCCCAAGAGGCCCCCCGGAGGCCCCCAAGAGACCCCCAAGAGGCCCCAAGAGCCCCCCCAGATGCACCCAAGATGCTCCAAGAGGCCTCGGCGAGAATGCCTAATCATTGATTCTACACAGGTTTTAGCCACATGGAGGCCTCTTGGGGGGGGGCACGGATTAAGATGACTCCAAGAGCGTCTGGGAGAGCCCAAAATGACCTCCAAGATGGCTCAAGATATCCCAAGATGTCTCATAATGGCTTTCTCTGTGTGCTGCCCACTTCTCTGATCGAGGCAATTCCTCTGGGCATCGTTTCTGGATGGGCTGGTGGGGATTCGCGAAGCGACAACAATTTCGGATCTGAATGCTTGTTTTGTGCCCTCTGCTGGGTCTCCGCTCGAAAAAGGACGACGACGACGACGACGACGACGACGACGACGACGACGACGACGACGACGAGGAGGAGGAGGAGGAGGAGGAGGAGGAGGAGGAGGAGGAGGAGGGGGAGGGGGAGGGGGAGGAGGCGGAATGGAAGGGCGGGGAGAAAGAGGAGGAGGAGGAAGACGACGACGACCACGACGACGACGACGACGACGACGACGACGACGACGACGACGACGACGGCGACGGCGACGGCGACGGCGACGGCGACGGCGACGGCGACGGCGACGCGTCGATGAGGACGATGACGAGGGCGAAGACGAGGATGATACTTTTGCCCGACACAGGCGTGACGGAACGTGATAGTTGATGCCCAGTGTGCGATCCTCAGAAAATTCCTGACGCGGCCTCCGTAGGAGATCGGCTGCGACAGCCACGATCAGCAGCGTGGCGACTGACCAGATAGCCTGCAACGCTGCTGTAAAGGTCAACCGACAGTGCCTGCCACTGCGCTCGCGAAAATCGCTCCTGAGACTCGGAGCCCTGGCAGCAAGAAGCAGGTGCCCAAGTATAGAAGATGACTGAAATGCATAAAAATATTAGTGTTCGGAGGTCCCCGCGGATATCTTGGATCGGCGTTGGACTCCCCTCAGAGGCTCGCAGAGCGCGGCAGGGGCTGCGCCAGAGGCGCCGCCAGGGGGGTCCAGCGCAGATCCAAGACATCATCGCGGGCCTCCGAAGGTTGTGTTTATGCATTTGCTCTTGCCTCGAGGGTAATTAAGCTTCTGCTTCACAAGACGACAGCATTCTTCACCTCCACCCCTCCTTCTCCTCATCCTCCGCCTGTGATCTTGAGCAAAACCGAGGCACGGCCCCCGACGGAACGCTCGTTGAGCGTGCGGCCAGACTGGTGGCGGGCTCCTCAGGCGCCGTCCACCTTGGCCATGTGGCAGCACAGGTCCACGAGGCGGTTAGAGTATCCCCACTCGTTGTCGTACCAGGACACCAGCTTCACGAAGTTGTCGTTCAGGGAGATGCCGGCGTTGACGTCGAAGATGGAGGAGGCCTTGCAGCTCACGAAGTCGGTCGACACCACCTCAGGATCAGAAAAGCGCCACGAACCCACACACACACACACAAGCACACACACACACAAACAAACAAACAAACACACACACACACACACACACACACACACACGCAGGGCTGAGCCCAAACGGTATTTGACTTTTTCGCTTTGTTTTTCGTTTTTCCTCGTGTTGCCTTCGCTTCGCCTTGAATGCAAAAGAAAACAAAAAACAAACCAGTCCACGAGACGGCCAAAATACCGTTTAGGTCAAGCCCTGCACAAACACAAGGTCAGAAACTGGCCAGTCCAGTCCTGGGCACAGGATCGAGGGATACGGCCCCCCCGGCCTGCCCGATTAGCCTTACATCGGGTATTGCCCTGTACAGGAGGAATATGCAAAAATAATCAAAATATCAGTAGGGGACGAGTTTTCGACTATGTTTGACTATTTTGGAATATTTGTAGACTAGTTTCCTTCCAAGGTCCGCCTTGAGGAGGACATGCCCGACCTAGGATTAGCCAAGAGGGCGTATAGGCCGACCCGCTGGCTACACGCAAGAGCGACCCCCCTAGGCAAGGATGACCATTGGTGCGCGCAGCTCTGCGGGGGACGCCAGGGGGGAGCGGGAGGGGCAACAGAAGAGCGCATGTCGATGCCAACGCATCGCATTCCGCGATCGGGGGACCCCAGCGGACCCGCACCTACGGCCACTCCGGCTCAGGGCCACCCTTGCGCGTCGTGCCGAATTCTGGACCCAAGAATCGGATCGGCCAGGACCCGTGTGCACTTGGATATCCCGCGCCCCCCGACGCCTCCTCGTCGGTCCAGTCCAGGACGCCCTTCATCGAGCCCGCGGACGCCTCCTTCACCGCGGCCACGATCGCGTCGTACTTTGCGCCCTTCTCCAGGCGGCACGTCAAGTCCACGACCGACACGTCTGGCGTGGGCACGCGGAAGGCCATGCCAGTGAGCTTGCCGTTGACGGCGGGGAGGCACTTGCCCACCGCCTTGGCGGCGCCCGTGGAAGACGGGATGATGTTCTGAGAGGCGCAGCGGCCGCCGCGCCAGTCCTTGCCGCCACGGGACGGGCCGTCCACCGTGAGCTGCGTCGCCGTCATGGCGTGCACCGTGGTCATGAGGCCCTCGACGATGCCGAACTTCTCGTGGATGACCTTGGTCAGCGGGGCCAGGCAGTTCGTGGTGCAGGACGCGTTCGACACCACGGTGTCTGAGGCCTTGTACTCGGTGTGGTTCACTCCGACGACGTAGATCGGGACGGCGTCCTTGGGAGGGGCCGAGATGATGACCTTCTTGGCACCACCCTTGATGTGCAGCTCAGCCTTCTCCTGGGCAGTGAACACGCCGGTGGACTCGCAGATGTAGGCGGCGCCCGCCGCGCCCCACGGGATGGACGCCGGGTCCTTTTCGTGGAACACCGCAATGTCCTTGCCGTCCACGACCAAGAACTCCTTGCCGTCGGCCACCTTCGTGGCGATGGTGCCCGGGTAGCGCTTGTGCACGGAGTCGTACTTGAGCATGTAGACCATGTACTCGAGATCCATGAAGGGGTCGTTGATGGCCTTCAGCTGCACCTCTGGGTTGCCGAGCGCCGCGCGGCAGACCAGGCGGCCGATGCGGCCGAAGCCGTTGATCCCCAGCGTGGCCGGCATGGCTCGCGGGTAGCACGCGGGACGAGGGCGAGAAACTATCGGAGCTCAAAGCGGAACGGCCTGAGCCCAAACCTGAGCCAGCAGAGGTCGGGGGCAGTCAAGAGGGGGGCGTCAATGAGGGGGGGGCGCAAATCATGGCCCGCGGCATGTGCGCGGCCCAGGGGGGGGGCCGGGAACGTGATGAAATAAGAAGAGGCGCCATGAAATCTGAGGAAATATCATGGCCCCCGCCACGATATCCAACCCCCTAGTCATCACCCCCCTCTTTGCCGCCCCTGCAGAGGCACACGAAGGGGGCAACGGGGGGAGGAGGAGGAGGAGGAGGAGGAGGAGGAGGAGGAGGAGGAGGAGGAGGAGGAGAGGAGAGAGGAGATGGGAGGAGGAGGAGGAGGGCGAGGACGGCGGGGAGGAGCGTATGCTGGTTTAGCCGCGAGGAGCGGGCGCAGCGCCGCCGTGGCCCCCGCGGCAGACTCCTCGCGCTTGCGACGCGGAGCACCGCGGCGGGGCGCCGAGGACCTCGGGACCCAGACCCCCGACGCGCCGTGATTTTCTCACGACGTCGACCCTCGGGAGCGGCCAAGAGGGGGGTGTCCAAGAGGGGGGGGTGCAAATCATGACCGGCGGCATGTGCGCGGCCCAGCGGGGGGGCCAGGGACGTAATGAAACAAGAAAATCTGGGGAGATATCATGGCCCCCGCCATGATATCCACCCCCCCCCCTAGTCATCACCCCCCCCCTTTTCCGCCCCCGACCAGAGGTCCGGACCCCTTCCCCGGGACCGCTTTTTCGTCCCGAGTCGCTTTTTGACGGTCCCGAGGCCCGGGAGGGGCCCCGGGAGGCCGAAAATAGCGAAGAACCTCCCGCCGTGATTTTTCACGACGCGAGGGGGTCTGGGCGTGTCGGCGTGCCTCCTGGCTACCTGTACCAGACCACCCCAACCCAACCCGAAGACCCCAATTTCGGGTTGGGGAGGGGGGTACGGGTTCCATCTGTGCTTTTGCATTGTTCCCCGACCCCCCCACCAGAAATGGAGGGCAAATTGAGGCCTTCGGGTTGGGTTGGGGTGGCTTGTGAGTATCGTTTAGCCGATCCCCATCCCCAGCGGCGTGGCCTGGGCCCCACTGGCCGATTTACCCCCCTAGATGGGGATATAGGTCGTTCCCTTCGGGTTTCGAGGGGTGTATCCCCAACCGGGCGGGTCATTTGGCGGGGGTCTCGAAGGGGGTGGGGATGGGAATGGGGATTGGTAAAACCATACCGAGGCCCGAGAATGGACGGGCGGGGAGGCGGAGGTCGGGCGTCGGGCATCGGGATAGCCGCGAGGCAGCGCGAGGGAGGGGCCGGGAGGGCGAGCCGCGGGGAGCCCGACGCCGGCCGCGCCGGGCGGCGGGGTGCGGCGGGAGCGGATGGAGGCACGGGGGCGGAAGGGAGCAGAGCGCGAAGGGGGGGCGGAGGAGGTGGAGGAGGAGGAGGAGGACGAGGACGAGGAGGAAGAGGAGGAGGAGGAGGAGGAGGAGGAGGAGGAGGAGGAGGGAGGGAGGGAGGAGGAGGAGGAGGAGGAGCGCGAAGGGGGGGGAGCAACGATGCCGCGCTGGGGTGGCCCGGTGGGCGGCGCGCCTCCGAGGCCGGTGTGCAGCGCAGGCGCAGGGCGGGCGCAGGCCCGCACGAGGGGCAGCCGCGCGGGTGCACCGGGCGGGCTTGCGGCGAGCGCCGGCCCGGGAAGGCGGGCGCGTGCTCAGAGGTCCGACGTCGTGACTGTTTCAATACAGGGCAGTTTTGATACATGGGATTAAAAGGTATAAGTTAAAAATATGATTCAAAATGACAACAATATTCAAGTACATGATTCGTTTATGGATACATGTATGCATGAACTCATCGTTGTTGTCGATACTAAATCCATGCATGTTTAGTACATGATCCGCACGCGGAGCATGCATTAAAAACGGCACTGTACAGTCGGGGCGTTGACCTAAGGAACGATAAATAAGGAGCGAGGTCCCTTTTTCCCACTAGTTAAACTCCAATTTTCCATGGAAAGCCCCAGGAAAACCCAAGGAACACTGCGGAACAACTGAGGAACACGGAGCCCCTCCCAAACGAAAAGGGTTCCTTCTTCAGCGGCCCGACTGTACGCGGTCGCCCGAAGCCTCGACCCATTCCCCGGGACCGGTGTTTCATCCTGAGTCGTTTCTTGACAGTCCCGGGGCCCGCCGAGGGCCCCGAGAGGCCGAACATGGAGAAACACCTCTGCCGCGAGTTTGTCAAGACGCTGGATCTCTGGGTGCGCGCGGAGCAGGGGCCGCTCCGCCGTCGGGACCGGCGCCGTGGGAGGCCGCAGGCGAGCTGGGCGAAGGGTCGGAAGTGGCCGAGCCAACTCTCCGGGGACGTGGTGCTTTTTTTACCATCTGGGCGAAGGTCAGGACCATGGTGTTTTTGTTACCATCTGGGCGAAGGTCTGGGCGAGGTTTTGTGTTTTTACCATCTGGGCGAGCGGTCG